ACATCACAGTTTGGTTAAAAGTAGAGGTGTTTTACATAGAAAAAGCATCATCTCATTTACTGATAAGAAAAGAAAAAAATATTGTGTCACTGTGTAATTTGCATTCCTATTTTGTGAGACCAATGATAGACAATCTGGAGTAGCAGGCTCCCCTAGAGAGGAGGACGTCCGGGTAACTTTGTTTAGAAATTATACAGAAAATGTCCATTTTAAAGTTTGCACTGACTATATTTGCATAGCTTGTACTTGATTTGAATAAATTCAGCACAGATGATGATAAAACTGTAGCAAGTAACTTAATCAACCTGGAATATTGCACTCACTGTTTAGGTATTCTCTGGAGGACTCAAATAAAAGGCTGGATAGAAAACATAGAATCATTTACAAGAAATCTCCCGGCTACTGCATTCAACCTGACGAGCAGAAATACATTTGCTATGTGGGTGACATTTCACAATGTACAAAAGTGAAAAACAAATCAAACATATAATCATAGCGTACAATGGATCTTAATAATGTGATTAATACATGACTAAATAAAAGCTTTTGGCTCGGAGACCTTTTAAACAGCTGTCACTGAAGTATAATAAATATTTGTTTTCTGCTGTAATTAAATCTCATTACAATAAATATTTGTTTTCTGCTGTAATTAAATCTCATTACAATAAATATTTACACATGCTTTTCAAACATCTCTTTGCAAAGTCTTTGTCATTGAATATATCAGACATAAATGATACTGTAATCTTTTATTTACAAAAGCCTCACGTGTGCAAACAGTTCCCTCTGGCTCACTGGGGCTCTCCTACAGCTTTAACCACGGGCCAGGGCATGTCGGGGAGGGGTGTCGGGGGCTCTGGTGGGACTGGTGGGACTGGTGGGACTGGTGGGACTGGGGGCTGCACTTGTTGGTTAGCCCAACTCAGATCCACGCCGTTTTTCTTCAGTGCTGCCAAGTGCTTAATGTCCAGTGTGGTGAAGGTGGTGAACTGGACCTGGTTCCTCTTGCTGGTCGGGGAGCGCAGAGGCTCGTTGCGCTGTGGTCGGGCTAAAAGTGTGGCCGACCTGTTTATCACGGGATCCAGAGGTTTGCAAGGTAGCTGCTGCTGGGAACTTGTCCGACACCTGCCCAGCGTGGCGGTCCGCTCTGGGAAAGCAGACGCGGCCACGGTCGGAATGCTGTTGTCCATGTTGTGATGGTGGTGCCCCATTGAATCTACCGAATGGCGAGACTCTAGAGGGCGCTCTCTTTTTAGCGTGCCCGGGGGAGCAGGTGTACCCGGGGGAGGGGGGTTGCGGCGTCTGCTATTGCCACTTCCCAGCCACACCCAGTCATGCTTATGATCTTTGCCGTCGCCCGGCGGAGTGGCTGAAGCCTGTATGGGCGTCTTCTGGTTACGGCACAGGGTGTACGAGGCGCAGTTGAGCAGAAAGGCGAAAACGGCCACACAGGACACTCCCACCAGAGCGTACATGGCGATTTCTATGTCAGACATGGAACGGAAAGTCTTTATCAGATCACTTTCAATAAAAGAAGGGGTTTTTGATTTGGGTGCTTCTTTTTTAGGGGTGAGTTCGGGTTTAGGGGCGTCCTTGTTGGATTTCTCAACCATATTACCAAAGCTTTTGCTGTTTTCTTTCACAGCCAGCACTGGTGTTGTGGTTGGCTTAGAGATACCCTGTGGTGTATTGAGTGTGGGGCTGGCTCTAGTGACCGTGGTGGCAGAAGCATATGTAGTGGCTCTGGTTGCCCTGCTGGTGTTACCAATCCATACGACATGTGGTGACACAGATCTGGTTGATGGGGTGTTGGAAGTGGTAGTTTCCGTCACCATAGAAGGATGGGTTACTGTGCTTCGAAACAAGCGCTTATCACCATCTGTTACGGCGCGCTGGGATGTTTTAATCTCGCCCACCACTTCTGATGGGAAACCTTCAACTCCGTCAGTGCCGATCCCAGCCACATCTTCCTCTGCAGATATGCTGTTACTTTGAACGTTAATTCGAAGTAGACTGGTACCTGCCACCAGTTTGCTCTTCCTCTTGGACTTCTGACAGTCCTCACAGATCCTGAGTTCCACCCGCACCAGTGCGCCCCTGCCCTCCGCTTCACCCTGAGCCAATACAAACGTTTGCTGCGGCGTCCGGCGCACTGTGGCCACGCTCTCGTCTGGGGTCGTGACGCTCAGAGAGTAGACTGTGCGGTCAAACAAGTCCAAAGGAACAATCGCTCCATCGCTGAAATGGACCCAGCAGGTGACCACTGCTTCCTGGAACAGAAAATAGACAGAAAAGTGAAGTTATATCTAAAGTATTTGAAAAAATAAAAGATCTTTCATGTCTCAACACCCACAGCAGTACATTGTATTTCAGAGATATCCTGCAAAAGGTAAAAATATGAACAAATAATCATTCATTCAATCTCTCATTTGAGTACTTCTAAACTGGGTTAAAACAAGGTTTGCTAATGGAACAGGCAAAAATGTCTTGTTTTAAGAGTGGCATGCACATCAAGCATTGATTATCTAAATAAAGTCAAATATGTGAAGTGAAAAAAATCTATAATTTTGTGTTACATAAACCTTCAGTCCATATTCATTCAAAACAAAGTTAATTCTTAGTTTAATCATTGGCTAACTTCCCCTCTTTCAGCGACTGCCCAATAACTCTTAATAACATAAAATTAATGCTAATATCTTTATGATTGCACTCTGTGGGATGCAGCCCGGATCATAATTCTGTGAAATCACTGTCGGGAAAGTAATTTAGGCAAAGTGGATAAAGAGAGTTTAATGCAGCGACTTAACAAAAAGACATGGATCGTGCCAGGAGCAGAATTAGTTAGTTCAATTACATTCATACACGATGCCCCATTTCCTCTTTCAAAATCGCCACTGGGCTATTCTAAAAACCTATATTTGTTTTGTTTTTTTATCCAGTTGCACTGAGGGATACATTATGAGCTCGGCATGGCAGACAAGTTGGTCGGTCAAATAGTATCAATACTTTTTCACTGACAGTGACAGAGCAGCAGCTTCCAGTTGTCCAGTCTGGAAGAAAGGCTCACTATCTAAATGCTAGTTTGCATTGTTGGAGAAATGCGTAAATGGGCAGGCTGCCATGGCTGAGTGGACCGGAAAGCTTTTTAAATGATCACGCGTGTACTCATGTGCCTTTGCCTCTCTCTCAAACAGCAGGGTGCCACAGTCGGAGGCAGAAATACACTGGAAACCTCATGTGCTGCAACACTGAGGTCACTGTTGCACACATTTGCTCCACTCTGACTCTTGTCTTGTGAATTTACATTGAGCCGTTACCACGACTTGCACTGTTTTTGGTGACATGTTCTTAGTTAGAACGCATCAGCTTCAGACAAAAATGTACAATTGTGTGTTCTTAAATAATGTGAAAAAATGTTTTATTTTTTTGATGAAGAACCACAAGTAACAGTTATAAATGCAAAATGATCGGGGTTGAATGCTTTTTTTATTCTCCTGTTAAATGCGGGATTTTCACACTGACCCTGGGGTATAAACCTGAACCTGTCCACAGCCTTGCACTGCTCTCTCCCTAATACATGTAATATGTTTAACAATGTGTGTATGGCTCCATGTGGAAAAGCCCCCTGCACCTTCACATTTGAACACAGGTCTGCAGTGTGAACATGGCTATTGCTTTCACTGCTTTTATTATTCATCTCTACATTTCTTCCCTTTACCTTTGATGAGCTTCTCTTTCATGGAATAGGTTTTGTACATGAAATGGCAGAGTTTCCAGATGCGCTGCACATTATTGCAATTATTTTGATTCTGTGAGCAAAGGTTTGACGGACTAGTTTCCATAGTCACCATTAAATACAGCTATCATGGCCTTTTTGTTGCAAGCAACTGAAGGCTGTACGTGGGATTTGTGAATTAGATTTGATTATAGAATTTAAAAAACTGAACATTTAAGCTTTTATTGAATAAAATGTAAATTGGCACTTTTAATGAGAACTTTTATTTATTTTAAAAGTAAGTAAGTTTTATTTATATACCGCCTTTCACAGACCAGAGTCACAAAGCGGTTTACAATTGCTATTCTTTTTTGGGCACTTGTCTCTCGCTCCACACAGAGATGGGAGCGGGGCCAGTACAGGAGGCACATGGCAGAGCTGTTGTACATATTTTTAGTGGTAGGGGAAACCAGAGTACACAGAGGAAACCTACACAGACACGGGGAGAACATGCAAACTCCACTCAGAAAGGCCCTGGTCCGACCGGGATTCGAACCCAGGACCTTCTTGCTGAGAGGCGAGAGTGCTATCCACTCAGCCACCGTGCCGCCCACAAAAGCTATTTGCATTAATTGGACACAAAAAATATTGTTTGACACAAAAATGAATCCATAGGATTTATTTTTTGTAGGTCTGACCAAAGAAAGTCGTGATCGACGAAGGCGACCAGGGCAGGCTGTGGTCAACCTGGCAATGTTTCTAATTATCATTTATCTTCATATTTAGATTTTTTTTTATTGTTTTGCTATGATTTGTTTGTCTTTTTTTTTCATTTTAAAGAAAAAAAAAAAATCTCATGTACACATAAATATTGTATTGTGAAACCAAAAATAAAAATTAATAAGTATAAAATTGTTATACCTTTTAGTTTCCATTCAAAGAACAGCACATAAAGTAGGAAGTATGTGCTGTATTCATATTGTACACAGTCCTACACTTTCACACATGATAATATTAATAATAATAATAATGCATTTTATTTCTTAGGCGCCTTTCAAGACACTCAAGGTCGCCTCACAACAACAAGTAAATTAACATCAACAATTAAAAACAGTTAAAATACAATGTTAAAACAGCATGAATAAACATACAGTTGTGGTCACAGTGAGTAGGCTTGTCTAAACAGATGAGTTTTGAGGATGGATTTGAAGTGTGGGAGTGAGTCGGTGTTACGGAGGTCAGGAGGGAGAGTGTTCCAGAGCTGGGGAGCAGAGCGACTGAAGGCTCTACTCCCCATGGTGACGAGATGGGCGGGAGGGGGAGCAGTGAGCCGGAGAGAGGAGGAGGAGCGGAGAGAGCGGGCAGGTGTGGAGACATGGAGGAGGTCAGTCAGGTATGGAGGAGCGAGCTTGTGGATTGCTTTGAATGTGAGGAGCAGGATTTTGTATTGGATGCGGTGGGTGATGGGGAGCCAGTGGAGCTGTTGAAGGACAGGAGTGATGTGGTTTATGGAGGGGGTGTGTGTGATGATGCGGGCGGCTGCATTTTGGACCAGTTGGAGTTTATGTAGAGTTTTTTGAGGGAGACCAAACAGTAGGGAATTACAGTAGTCGAGACGAGAGGTGACGAGGCTGTGTACAAGTATGGCAGTGGTGTGAGGGGAAAGAGAAGGGCGGAGCCGGCGGATATTTCTGAGGTGGAAGTAGGCGATGCGGGTGATGCTATTGATGTGTGCGGTGAAGGAGAGGGTGCTATCGAGGGTGACACCCAGACTCTTTACCTGAGCTGAGGGGGAAATGGAGGAGCCGTCAATGGGAATGGAGAAATTGCTTATTTTATTTAGGGTGGATTTGGTGCCAATGAGGAGGAGTTCAGTTTTATTGCTGTTGAGTTTGAGAAAGTTTGAAGTGAACCAGGACTTTATTTCATGGAGGCAGTTGGTGAGAGAGGACGGTGGGAGTGTGGAATTTGGTTTACTGGAGATGTAGAGCTGGGTGTCATCCGCGTAGCAGTGAAAGTGAATGTGGTGTTTTCTGAAGATGTAACCAAGAGGGAGAAGATAGATTAGGAACAGGATGGGGCCGAGGACAGAACCCTGGGGAACCCCTGAAGTGACTGGGAAGGGACAGGAAGTAAAAGATTTGAGCTGGATGAACTGGGTGCGGTCAGAAAGGTAGGAGCAGAACCAGGAGAGGGGAGTGTTTGTGATGCCAATGGAGGAGAGTCTGTCCAGAAGGATGGGGTGGGAGATAGTGTCAAAGGCTGCGCTGAGATCAAGCAGGAGGAGGATGGAGAGTGAACCGGAGTCAGCAGAGAGGAGAAGGTCGTTGGTGATTTTCAGGAGGGCAGTTTCAGTACTATGGAGGGAACGGAAGCCAGATTGAAATTGTTCATATAGGTTATTGGAGGAGAGGTGGGCGTGGAGTTGGGCAGCAACACAGTTTTTTCAAGTAGTTTGGAGATGAAGGGAAGGTTTGAAATGGGGCGGAAGTTATTGAGGTCAGAAGGATCAGAGCCAGGTTTCTTGAGAATGGGAGTGACAGCCGCAGTTTTAAGAGGAGAGGGTACAGTACCAGTGGTTAGGGAGGCTTGAATTATGTTAGTTATGAGAGGGGAAATTGCAGGAGTGGAGGCTTTAACGAGAGCAGTGGGGAGGGGATCAAGTTGGCAGGAGGAGGTTTTGGATTTCTGGATAAGGGTGGAGATTTGGATAACACATGGTAATGTGAAGGCAGAAAACAGGTGGGTTGGAGCTGGGAAGGATGGAGCAGCAACATTGGGAGAAGATGAAGGAGTGAGCTGCTGGTGGATGTGCTGAATTTTAGAGGTGAAAAATGAGGCCAGGGTATTGCAGAAATCAGAAGAATAGAGATGAGATGGAAGAGAGTCAGGAGGTTTTGTGATGGTTGAGATGAGTGAGAAGAGTGCTTTGGAGTTACCTTCATTTGAACTGATTAAACCGGAATAATAAATGGATTTGGCTTTGGAGATGGAGTCCTTGTATTGGAGAATATGAGTTATGTACATGTTTTTGTGAATAGTGAGTCCAGTCTTTCTGTAGAGTCTTTCAAGTTGGCGGCCTTTTGTTTTGAGTTGTCTGAGAGCGGGAGTGAACCAGGGTGCTGTGAGAATAAAGGAGACAGAACGGGTTTTGAGTGGGGCCATAGTGTTGAGAATGTTATGGAGGTTTGTGTTGTAGTGTGTAAGAAGCTCATCTGTTGTAGAAAGTCTATCAGCACTCGGGAGGTTATGGATAAAAGATGTTAAATTGTCCGGGTTAATGTCCTTTATTTTACGGAAATGTATAGTGCGTGGTGGGTTGGATTTTGTAAAGGACAGATTAACATTAAATGATAGAAGTAGATGGTCCGTGTATGGGAGGTAGTCAGTTTTACAGTCAGATGGTGTTAATCCTGAGCAGCAGATTAAGTCCAGAATATGTCCTTTATTGTGAGTGGGGAAGTTGACAAGCTATTGAAATCCAAAACTGTCCAGACAGGAGGTAAAATCTTTGGTGAGGGTGTTATTGAAACGGTCCATGTGAATATTGAAGTC